CCTTAATACTTCCAGTGCCGTGGGGATGTGGTCTCTGAGTGGCAGAAGGATGCCTTCCCCCGGGTGACCAACCTATAAAGTGAGTCAGTCTCTTTTAAAAAGAACTCACGGGTTAGCCCTAGACCAAGAAAACCCAGATAAAGCACTAATGACTGGTTATCTAAACTGCTGGCCCAGCCCTGCTGTGTTCTGAGGGAGCTCGGCTCCCTCTTGTGGCCTCAAACCACGTGTCCACGTGTTCTAGCCTCGCTGGATGTGCTGCGTAAGAGGGATCAGTCTTTTGCTGACCACATCCTTTTTATTTCAGTGTTATTTGTGGGAAAAGAAGCGGGGTCTTGGCGAGCTGAGAGGGCTTTATTAACCTCTCCTGCTCCCGAATGTGTCTTTCTCGCTTCCTCTGGTGGGAAGGGTGGTGGGGCACCAAATCTGAGTCTTGTGAATTCAGTGCTCTCATGCCGTCTGTCTTCCTATCGAAGTCTCTTCTTTAGTTATTTATTTAATTTTATTTATCCAAGGAATAAGTGAATAATCATTTCTTAAGATGCTATTATGTGATAAGATTGGTTTAGTTTAAAAAAGGAATTAAAAAATTGAATCAGTGGATTGACCTTGGAGGATTAAAGGATAGAAAGTAAAATATAACATTCATGGATAGGAGGTGTAGCCTTTAGAAGTGAAAGATCCTGAGGGCCAGAGACTGAAGACTCACAGACTAAAAGGTTGCCTCTGGTCTTAGTCATTTTTTGAAGCTCACTTTGCTTTTAAAAATGTGAATTAGTTTCCATCATTTAAATATAGGGAGATTTCATATGAAAACCAAATGTAACTTGGACTTCTGGCTTCTTAGACAGAATTGGAGGGTTGGACAACAGACAGTTCACATTTCCTCATGGTAACAGTCAGTGGAAGCTGAATAATATAGAAACAGACTCACAGACATAGAAAACAAACTTTGGTTACCAGGAGGGGAAGTGGGTGGGAAGGGATAAATTGGGAGTTTGAGATTTATAGATACTGACTATATATACAAAATAGAGAAGCAACAAGTTCATACTGCATAGCACAGGGAACTATATTCAGTATCTTGCAGTAATTTATGGTGAAAAAGAATATGAAGACGAATATATGTATGTTCATGTATGATTGAAGCATTTTGCTGTACACCAGAAATTGATACAACATTGTAAACTGACTTCAATAAGAAGATATATAAAAAAAGTAGCCAAACGCTACAGAGCAAGCACACATCCTCCATTTTACCCCAGACCCCGCCACTCCCTACAGCCTCGTGGTTGACTCATATGTCTCAGTGTGTACCCACTTGACTCCTGCCATACTGAGTTTGTAACTCTGTAGACTTGTTGAATGTAAGGCCCTTTCTTATCCTTATAATGGTATAACCCTGGGCCCTAGTCCTACAGTACATTTGTAACTGACAGTCCAGGGACCAGTCTAGCCTGGTTGGAGAGTACAGTTCAAAGAAGTAGTGCCTTCTCAGGGCAGACAGACCTGGAAATCTCAGGGAAGCAATCCAGGGAGATCTCAGGGCCTGAAACTGAAGGCTCAGGTGCCAGGAATATGTCCAAGTGTAAATGGATTTCAGCTTAATACACGGTAACAAGAATGTCAAAAACAACAGGAAAAAGACAATGGGGCTTTATCTATGTTTAGGCTGTTTCTGTGAGTCTTCATTTGTGTTCACTGGTTTACTGCTACCACTGGACATATACCTCTTACTCCATTTGCCTACACCTGGCCTCTCCAACTCCTAAGTTGTAAACTCTTGGAAGACAGATTTCCTGCCCCTGTTATTTCCATTTTGTCTGTCCTTTCCTCTCCTCATCTCCCCATTTCCCATAAAATAAAACGCACACAAGTAATACATGCTTTGGGGCTGTAAGTATACAAATGAAAGTCACCTCAGTTTCGTAGCTGCTGCTTCTTGTCCTTTGCTGCATAAAGATGGAATCCTGGGAACCTCTTGTCCTCTCTCATTTCAGGCTTTAGAATGAGACAGCGCCACGTCCTCATGGAGCCCACAGGGCCTGCAGGGCATTGCCCTCATTTGGTGGAATCCGTTCCTTGTGAGGATCCAGTGTGTTATCAGTGGCGGACGTCGGAAGGGCTCTGTATCCCTGATCATGGCAGGTGTGGCCCAGGACATCGCATCGTGAGGGCTGTCTGCCAGAATGAGCGAGGTATGAGCCAAAGAAGCACAAGGGTGGTTCAGCGGTATCTGCCAAATAACACGTGGCCACTCTCAGGTCATTTTCCCAAGGGAGAGAAATGCAGTCTTTCTTGGTCTTGAGTATTTAAGTCAGGTGACACATGGCCACAAAGTAAGCCGCATTGACTTAATATGGGGCCATGCGTTTCGTGACAGAGGAACCCTGTTTGCTTATGCCTAAATGCAGCACAGGGAGCCTAGAGAGTTCTCTGGGGTTTTTAATTTATTAAGACAAACAGAATACAGAAATTGCCTGGATAGTCCTCAGTACTTACCAATACGAAGCAAGTGTTACTGGCCTTTATTGATGTGGACATGTAACATGCTTCTATATATCATTAACAAATGCTGACTTGTAAAGATTCCAGGGCTGCCTTTCCCTCCAGTTTAAAAAGAAACCACAAATGCTAAGCTGTATCTTTTCAGTTATATAACATTAGATTAGAATCATCTCTAGACATAATGCTAGCATTTCTAAAGAGCCATTTTAAAATGTAAGTTGTCAAGATTTACAAAACTCTTAACAGCGATGTCTTTCCTTCATCACCAAGCTTCTGGTACAGTGGTTGTTTGAAATGAAGGGTGCCTTAGAAAATATGGAAGTCACATGGAAATGAGAAAAGTGACATTGAAAGCCTTTATCCTAGAGTTTAAAAAATTTAGTCTCATGGAAGAATACGGAGTATGTCTATTCATCAGCCCTGCCATGAGAAGTCGTGATTTATAATGGTCTTGGTATGTGGAGTGAAATATTTTGACTTATGGAGCGAAGAAATCCATAGAACAGAAGGAAATTACAAAATGGATGCAGAATGGCTGTTGGCATCCCCAGGGGGCTGACATTCAGCAATGCATTTCTTTGTTCTCTCTCTCTCTCTGTCTCTTCCTCTCTCTATCTCTCTCACCCTTTCTCTCTCTCCCACCCTTCCCTTTGTCTATCCCTCACTTCCTTCCTTCTTTCATTCCTCCCTCTTCTTTTTTCCCTCCTTCTCTCCTTCCACCCATCCTTCCTTCTTTGTTTTAAAAAATCACTGCCATAATTAGACAAGTACACATTTTGCCAAACGATGTAACTGGTTACTTCATGAAGCCAGGCAGTTGTTTAATTAAGTAGAGGGCAGGACAGATTGTATTAGCTACAGTCCCTTTTGACTACATAGTTAAAACTAATAGTGGCTTCTAATATTACCAAATAAGTTTTGAATGGGGGTGACATATGTGCAGTTTATTAACAGCAGCGCCAAAGATCCCTTTTTGAATTCAGGAAGAGGAGTGCAGACGTTTAAAACCTGTGAGTCAGACAGGTTGGAACTTCTAGTCTGCTGCTCTTCTGCTAGATGGTCTCAGGAAAATTGTTTAACTGTAGAGGCATTCTTTCTTTTAGCTGCAAAGTGGGGATAATAAAACCAACCTCTCACTCTCTGATTGTGAGTGTTTAATTTCTTATATAAAAGTGATTAGTGAAGTGTCTGCACATAACCATTCAGAATAAGCTATGAGCTCATTTTACTTGTAATGCACATTTATGACTGTTCTCCACCCTGGGGTATTTGTGCAGAGAATGTTCTTTTATAAAAGGAAAATAATAATGAGGATTTGAATAACCATACTAGTTGGTCTTCCCAACCTCCAGCTGTGGAAACAAGATCACTTGTTTGGTTGAGACCCAATGACAAATGACTGTCAGCCTTTGCCATCTTATAGCAGGGATGGGAGACTTTACAGGGTTGTTATATGGAGTCCACAGACCCAGGGACTTCTTACACCATGTGTACTGTGCCTTCTACAGTGTCGCAGAGTGTGATACTCTGATTTATAATTAGAGGTATGTATTTGGTCTGTGTCCCTTCTCTGGCACACAGCTTCTACAACCATTGGAAATCCCTGAGCAGTAAGAGCAGTGGGAGCATCTCTTGTTATCATGTGTGGTCTCTGGCCCTCAGTTCTTGAAATCACTTCCTTAAAGGTGAAATTGGTGTCTTGTTCTTCACATCAAGCCCCTTTCTACCACAACTGTAGTATTTGTATTAATGAGGGGACTTTTGGAACGTACCTACAGATGGGGGCTGGTTGCCATGGGAACCAACCATGTGGACCAGTTTTCAATCCCACCCCAACCCCTCTGATATCTGGGGAAGAGAAAGGGGCTGGAGGTTGAATCAATCACTTATGGCCGGTGAGGTCATCAATCATGCCTACGTCATGAAGCCCCATAAAACCCAAAAGAACCTGGTTCAGAGAGCTTACGGTTAGTGAAGGCAGGGAGATTTGGGGAGAGTAGCACGTGGAGGCTCCTCGCCCTTTTCCATACCTTGTTCTATGCATCTCTTCCGTCTGGTTGTCCCTGAGTTTTATCCTGCTAATAGTAAACTGGTTATCTAGTAAGTAAAATGGATTGCCTGAGTTCTGGGAGCTGCTCTAGCAAATTAATCAAACCCAAGGAGGGGGTCCTGGGAGCATCCGATTTGTAGCCAGTTGGTCAGAAGTACAGGTAGCAACCTAGACTTGTGATTGGCATCCTAAGCTGGAGGGAGTCTTTGGAACCCCCAATTTGTAGCCATTTGGTCACAAGCACAGGTAACCTGGGCTTGAGACTGGTGTCTAAAGTGGGGGGCAGTCTTGTGGAACTAAGCCCTTTAGCTGTGGAATCTGATGCTACTTCCGGGTAGATAGTGTCAGAATCAAGATGAATGGTAGGATAACCAGGCGGTGTTGGAGAGTTTGCTTGGTGGAGTGTGAGGAACCCCACCCCACCACACACACACACACACACACACACACTCGATTACAAGTGCAGAACACTTTACAGACCTATCAACTTTACCATTTGACAGCAGTTCTAGAGTTTTGTCACATATTCCTGGGAAATAATGAATTTTCAGCATTGACCTACACTCTTAATTTCTGTGGAAGAAGTAGGAGTTACTACTGGTTCAGGTCAGTTTCGTGGAGTGTTGTGGTTTTTAAATACCTGGATGGCTCCTCTGTCACTTGTAGCCACGGTTGTGGTTACAAGGACGTGCTGGTCTCCTAATGGAGGAAGCAGTCTTTGGTCCACTGAGAAATTGAAAATGTGATCTGGTTGCACTTTTTGAAGTTCTGCTTCTATGAGATTCTGGGTGATTGACGATTGAAGTTTGCCAGAGACGTGCTCCCGTTTGAGTCTCCACATATTATCATAGCCTTTCCGTAGTGACAGGAATTGACAGAACTGTTGACACTCATTTAATCTCTTGGAGAGAAAAAAAAAAGGATTGAGATCTATTTAATGAGTCTCCTGTGATTTTTCTCTTGTAACATTTGATACTTTTCATCACTCTGAGTTTCTTCATTGTTTCCTGGGCCTTTTATTTCAGAATTTATTCAGAGGTAAATGGATGCAACCAAAATAAATAAATTTTTTTTGGTTTAAAAAAAATCAAGCAGACTCATATTAGGTCTAGTCAGACTTGAGGCTTGCTGTAATTGCAAGGTTACTTGCTTTGTCCCTTGTTTTAAGGCTTGTCCACATCGACTCACTCCATGTACCCCTTATACCAAAAGGAACGTTTAGTATCCTTGCAAAATGTCTACACCCTGTTCAGACTGTAGAGCCAAGAGATTTCCACATAGCCATGATCTAGACTTCTGTAGGACTTCTGACAGTGTCTTGTGGACATTGCTTCTGCCACTTAGGAAGACGTGTCTCCTCCCTAAAAGTTCATTCAGTTTTAGCTTGAAAACTTCAAAAATACACAACGTATGTCACATTGAAGCTAAGAGGTAACTGGAAACAGCAATTTGATATACCCCAAACTGGGTTAGTTTATGAACGTCATCTACTTTGAACTGCTTAAGATTCAAGTAGTCATGTACGAATGTCTGCAGCTGGCTCTGTAGATACAGTCCTTTGACCCAGTCTCTGTTTTGATTGATTAGTGATACTGTCAAATCAGTCTCACTAAAGTTGCTGTTTCTCACCCAGCCTGTGAAAGTAGCAAACAATCTGTTAGTAATATTTATTTTCAGTAAGAAAATTGTATCATAGATTACAAGAGTGAGTATTATGATTTGGAGTCTGATTTGCAGTACTTTGATTGGTGGAATAGCTTTGATTTCTCTCCCTGTGCATCTGATCATTAGCATGGGTTAAAAGGAGTCTACTGAGTATAGAGAATATATAGTTTTTCTAGTCTCGTTGACTGTTGTGTTTCCTACATTTCAGAGGGGGCATTTGAAAGTAAATGGAGTATGATGCAGACTGCAAGCTGACAAATTTCTCCCAGAGATTATCAAGTTAATTCACTGTTTTCAACTTTGTTTTTTGGACAAGTAACTGGTTCCTTGTTGCTGTGTTTCATCGGCAATTGATGAAGGTTTAGCACCAGGTGACATCTTCCGAGAGCAGATTGGGAAAATCCTCATAATACCAGGGCAGCGGGCAGCATTCCCAGTGGCTGGCAGGTGACCACTATTTATCGCCGTTCATGTCTCCGTGATGCAAAGTGGGCAGGTGACGTCACAGGGTCGTTGGATAAACACAAGACTGCCAGCTGGAGCGGTCAGACCCTGAGTACTCACCACATATTTTGTTCCATAATTTGCCAAATAAGCTGACTTGAAAAAAAAAGTGTATATTTCAGCAAACATCTTTATTCAGAGATGATGCTGTGTACATTCTGCCCGCTGGTGAAGAGTGTAGTACATCAGGAAGAACACGGTTCACACATTGACAGGTACATGGAGTTAAGAGTTCTCTGGTGGCTCTGCACCACTCCCTTTTATAGAGGGTTTCTTATTTTTCACAGTTGCACAGGACCTTCCCCATGCAAATATATTCCTTAAGTGGTGTCTATATTTCACCGAAAGCATGAGGAATGATTTCCCATCATTAAGTGGACTTGCCTTTTCCTTTCAGAGGCGTTTTTCTGTGGGTTCTTGCCTTGTATCATTAACTTTGAGCAAATCAAAAAATGTGATCTTTAATCTTAG